CGTAGTTTTTTTTTGAGTAGTAAACTGAAAATTTATATAATACTTACTAGATAAAGTCTTACATATTGCATGTCATAGTGATATTAGGGCTAGATATCCCCTCGGGCAAACAACTGGTGTCACTTGTAATGTTTTGATTCCCTAATGATCTAAACATATTACATAAAGAGGTAGGTAATTTTTTTGAAGATAAGCTATCCCCGCTCATATCCTTTGTTAGCAGTTGTTGTATAAAAAACGGCAGTTCAGCAAGCACCTTAGTCCCTCTAGGGTTAAATTTACTATTTTTTTTTGTTTTTTGCTTCCTTGGCTAGTGCATTAGTTACTGCATTCCCTTCCCTGAAATTATGTCGTAGTAGAAGGCCCTTCCCCTGGAGCATTAATAACCTGTAAGAAAGAATCCGATTAGTAAGAACTGAATGTTCATTGTTTATCGCATTAATTACTTCAGTTGAGTCTGTTTCCCTTCTAATGGGTAAAGATCAAACTTTGAAGCCATCTGAAGTCCCTCCATGAGTGCCTGTAATTCTATGTGTAGAGGAAATAAAGCATTACAGTATTTATGGAAGCCTGGAATCCACTTTCCTGTATTGTTTCTAAATACTCCTCCTATTCTACCATCTATTTTGTTACATGCCCCATCTATGTTGAGCTTAATCCAACCTTTTGGTGGAGTATACCATTTAACTTGGATTACTCTGTTGGCCTGCGATGAAGTGCTTTTGGTAGTGAAGAAGTGATATTCAATCGCATGATTATTAATAGTCTTTAAGGAGGGTTTTATGTTGGTGTTATTAGTATTGTTGTGATTGCAATTAATCCAAATTCCCCAGATTAGAAAGGGAAGGAGGTCAGACCATTCCAGGTGAGGGGATTGGAGTTTGGGGGTCTGATTTTAATGTGGATGAGCCAGTGGTGGTTAATTATTGATGGAGGGTTATTGATACCAAACTTATCCCATAAGTGATGCACTAGGGGGCAGTTAATGAAGATGTGCTCTATAGATTCTTCTTCATTGTGGCACATCGGGCATTTATTGTCTATATTTATCCCAATATGCTGAAGATATTTCCTGCATGGTAGTCTGTTGTGTAGACACTGCCAAAGGAGGTATTTGATTTTATTAGCGCAATATAGTTTCCATATCCACATGAAGTCATATTGGGGCTTTATGGTAGATTTAATAATTGTAAGGCAGGATTTGCTGGTGAAAGTCATTAGTGTTCATGTTCAGATAGGAGTATCTTTATTGTCTTCATTTAAAGGGATAGGTGTTTGATGAATCTTTCGATAATATTGGTAGGCAATTCAAAAGATAATTTTGAGGGATCCCATCGGCCATTTAAAAATATTTTCTTTACTTTAGTGGATAATTTATGTTTATTGAGAGGACCCTCGATGCATTCTCTTAAGGGTTGGAGGTTGGGTATCCAATTGGATAGCCAAAGATTTTGATTAGAATTCTTGCAGGGTTGCCAAGTGATGCCCTTAGTGCATATTGACCACCCTTTAAGGATGTTATTCTAGATGAAGGAGGTGGAGATTGGAGTTTTATTTCTCGCATATTTGAATATGAGAACTTTGCACCATAAGGCTGTGGGTGTGGTAATAATTCTCCAGGTCAGGTTACTGAGTGTTATCAAATTTTTTGTATTAGCATCTTTTATGCCAAGCCCTCCTTCTTCTTTACTTTTAGTAATAGTATTCCAATTGACGTAGTGAACTTTCTTGGCCTCATTAGTGGAATCCCAGATAAAGTTACGTTGAATACGGTCAATTTGGTTTAAAATTTTGGTAGGAAGATGGGTGTATTGCATTACACGACTAGGGATAAGATTAAGAGTTGATGTTGCTAGGGTGGTTCGACCCGCTATGTTCAGAAAATTGGCTTTCCAAGAAGACAATTTCCTTTGCATATTGTCAATAATAAATTGGTAATCCCTGGGGTTAGGATGATTTTGAAGAATTGGAAATCCCAGTATTTGCCAAAGGTGTTGCTAATGCTGATATTAAAATCTTTAGCAACTTCTTTAGAGATAGTTGTGGGACAATTTTTTGAGAAGATTATTTTAGATTTTTGCAGGTTGATGTTTTGCCCTGACAAGGAGCAGAAGATTGAAATGCTTCTTTTAATAATGCTACAAGATTTCTTGTTTACCTTACCCATAAGGGTAAGGTCATCTGCAAAGAATAAATGTGAAATACCAGGATCATTTGGACTAAGCTGGATGGGATCCCAGTTGTGGATATCTACTTGATGGGAAATTAAGCGTGAAAATATTTTCATACATAGGATGAAAATATAAGGGGATAGGGGGCATCCTTGCCTGATAACCCTACTAGGACTAAAAAAGGATTTAGTTGATCCATTAACGAGAATGGTAATGTTACTAGTAGTTATACAATGAATGGTCATTCATCTATCGTATGCTCAGATTCTTCAATTTCCCACCCTCTATGTTCTTTACTTCTTTGTACAATAAATATAATACTGGGACGAACACATAAAAAAATTTACATAGTAGCCTCATAAAAGGCCATTTGTGCAAATGCTCGATACCTTAATAGCAAAATCAGTCCATAAAAATGAAATTAGGAATAATGACATGATTCATTCTCGTGCAAGATAATTGATCCAGTAAATGCCTCGTTTAATTTATTCGTATAAGTTCTACTCCTATATACGGCCTTCGAGTCTGTATTTCAATTTTAAATTTTTTTGATGTATTTTCAAATTTGAGTTACCTCGTATGATTATTTAATTAACATGCAAAACCCAGACTTAAATCATTAGTACAATCTAATAATCTATTATTAATATTCTCATTGAAATTAGTAGCAACTTAATTATAAATGATAAAAAAACGAACAAAGCTTGTTATAAAAGAATTATTTAATTTAACCTAACACGATCATACCCCCTCAAGTATATTGAAATTACGACCCCTGAATCATGTATTACAAAGATGAGTAGAATGTTAATCACGAACTCTACATATTTGAGTTATGACAATTCAACTATATTACATATTACATCTAATCCCAAGACCATAAAATAACTACGTTTGTAACAATAGCGTAAAACAAAAATAGAAATTGTCCGTAAATTTACTAGTTAAAGGGGAATTATACCACTTACGAAAAGAATGAAAAGGTAAACATAAAATTTTGAAGCTCCTATAGGAAAACACGTCACAAAGCAAAATGATGCTTTGAATTTCAGAAGAAAATTAAAGAAGAAAAAAGAGAGATAAATTCAAATTCTTTTTTTTGAAATTTCAATGGCTATATATATATTTTTTTGTAAATTTTTGGGGCTTAAAGAATAACTTGTTATAATTCAAGCTAATTAATAAAGAGAAGATTTTAATTTGAAAATACTGCAAGTTAGTAACTGACAAAAACCCGTACTGTAATAATGCTCCACAATTTTGGACTTATCCTGCCACGTTGGCTTACTTTATCCTGTTCAAAATTTCTGATATTTAGTTGTCAGAAAATGAAATTATTTCCACTAATTAGGAAATTTAACTTCCTTCAATTTTGGACTGAAGACTTCAACTAATACATACATAACAATCGGGGTGTTCAAACCGAACCGAAAAACCAAATTAAACCGATTAAAAAATCCGATTAGGTTTGGTTTGACTTGATTTGGTATTGAGTAAAAAAATCTGAACAAAACTGACATATAAATATATAATTTTTATATATATTTTTAAGACCTTATATTGAATTTTCTTTAAACAATATTGAAATATTTGACATCCTCTCATATGTTTACCTAGAAAGCGTATTAGTAAATAACTATCATGTATTAGTAAAAAAATTCTCCCATTAGAATATTTTAATAGATCATCTGTTTGTCAATTTTTTCAATATTTACTAAACATATATTAACTTATCAAAACTTTATCTATAACTTTAACAAAGTAAGATTAGAATTATATTCATGCAACAAAAAAAAACCGAAAATCCGAAAAACCCGACAAAATCGAACCAATCCAAACCGATATAATTGGTTTGGTTCGATTTTTATCAAAACCGAACCAACCCGGTTCATATACACCCCTACATAACATTACCGGTCTTCAATATCTGATTTGTTTGCAGTTTTTGAGCTCGTGCCTGCCAACTTAGTATCCCAAATTCGAAGACCTATGTCATATTTAGGAGAGCTTAAGGTCCAAGATTTGAGCTCTTAGTTATATTTTAGAAATGTTTTTTTTTTTTTTTTTTTTTTTTTGTGATTATCTAACATGGTGCCTTCAAAGTAGTTTGAATAAAGATCTTGATATCGTTTTTTTTTTTCTCAAACAAAGTATTGACATTGAATAAATTCTTAAATAACTATCGTACAATTTGCATTCTTTTACCATTATAGATATTATATAACTCCACCTATCAACCTTAGGCTTAGGGGAAAAATAACTTCTTTTGGATTAATCGCACTCGGATGACCAAAACTTATAGTTCAACGACAATGCATTAGTTATCCGCGTTCAGGTTAGGCATTCAGGGTCGGAGATGGGCAATGATTCATTCTTAATTAGAATGAGATTCCAACTCAGCACCTTTTAAGTGAAATTTTGAGAAAAGTTGCTCTTTGAAGAGCACAGTACGATGAAAGTTATATGCTGTGTTCGGAGGAGTTAGGCCTCTATAATAGAATAGTCGGGGATCTGAGAGGCGATGGTTTATACTGCGACGGATGTTAGCGGTTCGAGTCAGCTTTGTATTCTTAAAATCGATTTCCCACATAATAAGTTTGACCTTCAAATTTCATTACACTTGGATAACCAAGACTTATAATTTAGTGGCACTTTGTACCAGTAGTAACCGAGAATAAGTTTGATTTCAATTAGTCCTACAAAATCCTTGTTAAAGTGGATATTTCCTGATTAAAAAAAACGCAGCTCAAAGGAAATTGGAGGATGTTGTTGCTAACCTAACTCCTGCAATATACATAACAAAGCAAATGTATTACAAAAACAATAGAATTATAATAGCAAAACTTACAAACTGCTAGCAAGAAGATTAAAAAGTAACATAATTAACTTTTCAAAGTTAGCTGCAATCGAAATGTATTTAACTTGTACATATGAACTACTCCGTATAAAGCAATTGTCTTTAAATTAATCCGCAGTTTCTAAACCCATAATAATTACTACAACACCGGCTAAATACTCCGAGTACCACCGGAAAAGATCTATCAAAATCATCGGAAAAAGCTCAATACATGTAGTTACAGTCGGATCCATTTCTTAGCTGCTTGCATTTTCCGGGAACTGTTGATTAAATATGCTGCGGCTAAGGGCAATTCGTCCGACAAATGACAGGATCGTGAAGATTCATATGCATCCGACGCATCCTTGGCTTGTTACCGCTGATGCATCCGATCACGTCTCCGTTTGGAATTGGGACCACCGCCAGGTTTGAATTGTTTTTCGCTATTTTGCTTTTCTGTTTGTGAAATTGACTAATAGGAAATACCGTTGCCAGATTATTTATGAACTGAAACCTGGTGGTGTTGATGAACGGCGTTTGGTTGGTGCCAAACTTGAGAAGCTTGCCGAGGGTGAATCAGGTGCTTATTCATTTTTGTTAGTTATTGTTAAATTGGTATGTCAGTAACACTAGCAACATCTATTGCTATGCCCAGCGACAGAGCTACGATTTGAAGCTCATGGGTTCGGGATTCTAGTCAGTTTAGGTTAATGGGTTCTAAGTTAATAACTTATACATATTCAACGAATTTTTAAGATAAATATTTTGGACTAAAGCTACTACGGGGTTGGGCCGAACTTGTGTCCTGTATTCTAGATCCGCTCCTGGCTGTGATGATATCCGAGAGACCCAGACTAGTTGGAATCGGGTATACAAATCATCTTAAATTGACTAATATTTTGCGTGTGGTTAGCTTATTTTAACTCTCCCTCCTTTATTCGGGCTTGGGACTGGCAATGTGTGCTAACATAACATGCTAAGCTTACATAGGTAGAATTTAGATTGATATGTCAATGTTTGTATGCAGAGCCTAGAGGGAAACCTACAGAAGCCATACGAGGTGGGAGGTAATTGATCCTTACATTGGACTTAAATATTGTTTCAGCTTCTTTAGTTCTTTGTTGAATCTTTGTGTGCCATCACTTCAACTTTGAATCTTTAGTATGCTATTCTGGTGCATGGCTCAAGTGTGAAGCAGGTTAGCTTTTATGATGATGATGTACGGTTTTGGCAACTCTGGCATAATCAGTCCGCTGCTGCTGAGTCTCCAGCTCATGTCACTTCAACTTTTGCTTCTCCTGCTCCATCAACCAAAGGGCGCCATTTTCTTGTCATCTGTTGTGAGAACAAAGCTATCTTCTTAGACTTGGTTACGATGCGTGGCCGCGATGTACCAAAGCAGGAGCTTGACAACAAATCACTTCTATGGCAAGTCTTAAATCCATCAATTTCTTTTTTTGTGTTATCCACTTTTTTGGACTTTTATGGTTGTTCACGAATTAATTTTTTTTGAATCTGCCTAAAAGATAAACTATCTTGCTGCATCTATTTTTTAAGACTACCATTTCCCTAGGAAATTAGTAAATTTCTTATGCCACTATTTGATAGAATCAGCATTGCCAACTACCAGCCAAGTTAGAGCATCTCAAGTTTGTAGCACTTAATCAACGCTTCACTAAACGTGCTTGCTATTTCCTACTATTTTACTCATTACAGCAACCACTCTTCATTTCCTTCCTCTCCACTAGACTCTTTTTTAATCTGGCAAAAGTAGAATTTCATTGACCAGCATCTGAAGGATGCAAAAGCAATACAAAAACAGGGAGCTCCTGTACACTCCTATCTAAAATTCAAGGAGCTTACAAAAATTCAAAAGCATAAGAGCAGTATTTACATTACAATTATTACACCAAGCAAAGAGATTTAATAAGCGTCTAGTCTTCGATACATGTATTGGAGTTGAGACTCCATCAAAACACCTCAGATTCCTCTTTCCAAATGCTCCAATGCAACAATATGGAACCATTTGCCATGTATTTCTGATGGATTTCACAAGTCTCCATTTTCCCCAGATAATAAATGCTTCCTTCAGTTCAGCCTCCCTGGTAGTACCCATTGTACTACCAAAATGCAGAAAACGTGTCTCAGATGTTCTTTGTTACAGGACAATGCAAAAATAAATGGTCTATGTTCTCATTCTCTGTCAAGCATAAGTAGTACCTGTTTCAGATTGCAATACCTCTTTTTGTTAAATTGTCTCGAGTTAAATAAACCCCCAAAATTGCCAACCAGCTAAAGATGCCGCTTTTCCTTCCTCTCCACTAGACTTTAAACGTTGAGGTGGTTGGGAAATCGAAAGCGAGAAAAATTACTAAGTTTAACAATATCTAAGGTGAATAAGGCAGCTACATCTTCAACATCTCTTTATGTTTAAGCTAAATGGGATTACGAAATCGTGAGTTGGAAGGAACCTTTAGAGATGATAATGGAGATAACTAAATCAAATATCCATGATTTGTCACACAATCACAGTGCGACCAAAGGGGGTGAACATGATGTAAACTGGGTTGGACTGCGGTGTATGGACCTGCTACAAGGAAAGACAGGAAAAAAATTCATGGGAAGAGCATTCTGCATAAAGAGGGCTTTGGGATTGTTCATGGGTGATCGGTAGTGATTTTTGATGTTAAATTTATCAAATCTATAGAATAGTTTAAAGAGTTTGCTGAGATGGTACCAGACCTGTCTTTAGTTGATTTGCCTCTTCATTGGGCCAATTTACTTGGTTTAGAGACAATTCTGACAATAGAGCGTCAAGAATTGATAGACTTTTTTACCAACGATGACTGGGACGAGACATTCAAGTACATGAAATAGAGAGTTCTTCCCAGAACCATCTCAGATCATTTCCCAATTTTGTTGGAACACGGAGTTGAAGAATGACCTCAAATTTGAAAATATGTGGCTGGATTTCAAGGGGTTCGTTGAATTGGTGGAAAATGGTCGAGTTTCTACCAGTTGAATGATAGACCAGATGTTAGAACTGCTAAGAAGCTAAGATTGCTAAAAAAGATGACTAATTATATCAATGATAGGGTTTATTTGGTTTTTGGTTTGAGCTAAAATGAATACTTCTTTGTCATACTGGTGTTTAGTCTTCATGCTGGCAAAAGTTGTTTTCTGGGTCATGGGAAGTTGGAAAGACCATATCTGATTGTCTTAATTTACTTGTTCTTTTGAATCTCTTGCAGTATGGTGTTCCTCTCTAAAGCAGCTGCTGTTGATGGCCCTCTTGTGGCTTTTGGAGGGTCAGATGGTGTAATTAGAGTTCTTTCAATGATAACATGGAAGGTCTCATTTTAGAATATTTGGATTGTAAAGTCTTTCTGATATTTGTTCCATTCATTGTCAAAATGAGTAGATGAATAAGACTTTTTCTGCAGCTTGCACGAAGATACACAGGAGGTCATAAGGGAGCAATTTCTTGCTTGATGAATTTCATGGCTGCTTCTGGCGAGGTACTTGTTATGCTTCCAGTTGATGCTTAAATCCCCTTTTATCACCTTACACTATGTAGTGGACTAGAATTTTTTTATCCAGAACCTAGTGTCTCCATTTATAATTCTAGAGACGGGCTGTGTTTCAAAAATGTCTCCATGATCTATACTTGGCTAAGGCGTTTGGACATGATTTGGTTAAAGTTTTAAAAAAAAGAGAGTAGTTGAATTTGAAGTTGAAAAAGACATGAATTTCACTTGGAAAAAAAGTTGAAGTTTGTGAGTGGAAGCTTGAAATACTCTCAAACCTGTTTTTCAACCTTAAAGTTCTCTATGTCAAGTTTGAAGTTGAAATAATAGACCAGATTGTAAAACATACATTTACCTCAAATATTTGAAATAATGTCTATGGCCAAACGGATTAGTGCTGCTGCCTGGAAGCAGCAAGTTTTGGTTAAGCTGGTTTCCTTTTTTGATGTGCTTAAACATTTTCCTTTTCTTTCTTAAGGCGAGATACGTTTTGTAGAAAGAGATGGTACCATATGAGGCCAAGATATGGTGAGATACGTTTTGTAGAAAGAGATGGTACCATATGAGGCCAAGATATGGTGCATCGTTTGCAGCTTTCGTATAAGTTAAACCTGCAATTTGTTTGCATAGATATTCTGTGTCCAGAGGAATCAGCCAGAAAAGATTGTGAATCACATCTCTCATTTAGACTTCAAACGCTTGTCATAGCCTCAGAAAAAAATACTAATAGATCTTGATTTTGCAAAGTATGTTTTCCAGTTTTTATGATCTATGTTGCTCGCACTCTCCGAAAATATCGATGTATTTTTGGAGGATCCGACATGGGTGCGGCAGCTGTTTTGGAGAGTCCGAACAACATAGTTTATGATTAAACACAGAGAGCTTAAAGAGAATTTTCAGCCTACAATGTAGATGTTTTTCAACTTAAAGACTGGTGTCCTCTCTCTAACAATTTAAACTTTTAGATAGGTGGTTCACACAATCAATGGAAGGTGGACTTTGTTTCTTCTGAAGTATTTCTTGCCTTAGTAATTCATTTACTGTCAGATAGAATAATCTTAAATGAAGCAGATAATTTGTTGGGTCAATGTTGGTTTCTCTGTTAGAGAGAAGTAAGGGGGAAAAGGGAAACATCTATCTGAGGTTCTTGGCTTGCATGGCTTTGTACCTAGTTCACTTGGTAGTTAAGCATTGTTAAATGAAACTGGATTACAGAAGTACATATGCTTGCTGTCCATCCATTCCCCATCTGAATGTCCCTTGTGTTTCCTTTCTCAACATGTAAACTGAGCAAAAGAAACTGAAGTTCCATAAAATAAATGAATTGTTGTAATGAAGAACATGGACATTTAACTCTGAGATTTGTTACTGTAAACAGAACTGCTGAAAGTGATAATTCTCTTATATAATTTACCAAAAAGAATGACTAGGTTCACCTGGCAGAAACTGTTATACTTTTAATATTTTTTCTGTTTGACTTCTAATTGCCATTATCTTTGTTATCGTGTGTGCAGTCTCTTCTAGTTTCTGGTGGTAGTGACGGATTGCTTGTACTTTGGAGTGCAGACAATGCTCTTGATTCGAGAGAGCTTGTTCCTAAGCTCAGCTTAAAAGTATCTTCTTATTCCTTTAGTTTTTTTTCCTTTTAAATTTCTATTGCAACTTAATTTCACAAAGTAAGAATTTCATTTGCCGTTGCTAAAAGCAAAAAATGAGAACATGGAATGCATCTGGAAAATCACTGATAGATGAAAGCTGATTGAACTGCAAGTCCTTATCTGCTTCTATCAAATCCTTGAAGCTTTTCTTCAGCTTCCATTGTTATACTTTATAGGCTCATGATGGTGGGGTTATTGCTGTAGAGCTCTCTAGAGTGATTGGTAATGCACCACAGCTCATTACTATTGGTGCTGATAAAACATTAGCTATCTGGGACACAGTCTCCTTTAAGGTATTGTATAAGATCTCTTTCATTTGTAGCTTTACTACATAGGGGATATATTTATGTTAACGAAATTTCCACCCAATTGTAGGAACTGCGTCGAATAAAACCTGTTCCAAAACTAGCTTGTCACAGTGTAGCATCGTGGTGCCACCCACGGGCTCCCAACCTCGATATCTTGACTTGTGTCAAAGATTCCCATATATGGTAGGCATACTTCACACACCTCCCTTGGTTGGAACATTATTAACACTGCTTAAAGTTTTCCCTCTTTCGGCAAAATATGATATTCTGTTGCAACTTTGCAGGGCTATCGAGCATCCTACCTATTCTGCTCTTACAAGGCCATTGTGTGAACTTTCTGCACTAGTTCCTCCACAATTACTTGCCTCTCACAAGAAGCTGAAGGTGAAACTACTATAGATAAATAACGTTGTTTATCTTAATGTTTTCCTTGCTGTATATCTTGTCTTTCAATTCCGACCTATTTTTCCTTATGCAACTTCTTAGGTTTAGGAAGATTGATAATTTGAAGTGTTAAATCTACAGTATGATGGCTGGAAAAATGAATAACTAATATGAATTTTGTGTTTTAAAACAAGCAAAGCCTTCGAGTATCAAGTCTGGAAAGTGATTTTTATAGTAGTTGCTTTTTTGTAAGAATTATTTCCACTAGTTTCTTCTACTAGATAATTATGAGGATTATTTACGCACTCCATCATATCACATATGATTAAATTTCTACATTGGGAGGCATCTAATTTTTTGACCTTTTGAAGATGACTTGACTACATTTTTTTATGTTCTTCTCTCTGGTCTTTTAGGTTTATTCTATGGTTACACACCCTTTACAGCCACACCTTGTAGCTACTGGAACCAATATTGGCATTATTCTGTGTGAATTTGATCAGAAGTCTCTTCCTCCTGTAGTAGCACTGCCAACACCAACAGGAAGTCGTGAACATACTGCTGTTTATGTAGTTGAAAGGGAATTGAAGCTGTTGCAATTTCAGTTATCTAACACCACTCCTCCAGCACTCGGAAGTAATGGCTCTTTGAGTGACACGGGAAGGTTCAGAGGAGAGATACCTGAACAACTCCACGTCAAACAAACCAAAAAGCATATTACTACTCCAGCTCCACATGATTCATACTCAGTTCTTTCTGTCAGCAGTTCTGGGAAGTAAGTAATTCAGACACTAGCAATACTCAATCCCTATATCAGGCTTAGTGTAGTAGGTGGCATCTAGTATCTTTAGCATTATCTTGATTTGTATTATTGCCTCATCCATTATTTCACTTATGCTTTTTAAGGTTGTACCGGACGGTTTTACAAGGTTTTGGACTGTTAATTTTGCAGGTATCTAGCAATTGTATGGCATGATATCCCGTACTTCTCTATCTACAAGGTCAGTGATTGGTCAGTTGTTGATTCTGGAAGCGCAAGGCTGTTGGCTTGGGATACTTGTCGAGATAGGTTTGCTTTTTTGGAATCTGCACTCCCTCCTAGAATACCTGTTATTCCAAAAGGTTCATCTAGAAAAGCGAAGGAAGCTGCTGCAGCTGCGGCACAGGCAGCTGCTGCTGCTGCTTCTGCTGCTTCTGCTGCTTCTTCTGCTACTGTTCAAGTTCGTATATTGCTGGATGACGGGACATCAAATGTATTAATGAAGTCGGTGGGAAGCCGAAGTGAACCAGTTATTGGCTTGCATGGAGGGGCATTACTTGGTATGGCCTATCGAACTTCTCGAAGGGTTAGCCCTGCTGCTGCTACAACAATCTCAACATTTCAATCTATGCCATTATCAGGCTTTGGAAGTAGTTCTGTTTCTTCATTTAGCACTATGGAAGACAGTTCTAAAAAATCTGCAGCTGAAACAGTGCCACTGAACTTCCAATTATACAGCTGGGAAACATTTCAACCAGTGGGTGGTCTTCTTCCTCAACCTGATTGGACCGCATGGGATCAAACAGTTGAGTATTGTGCTTTTGCTTATCCGCAGCACATTGTCATATGTTCTTTGCGTCCACAGTTTAGATACTTGGGGGATGTGGCAATTCCTTATGCAACTGGGGCAGTTTGGCAGCGAAGGCAGTTGTTTGTGGCTACACCTACTACCATTGAGTGTGTTTTTGTGGATGCTGGAGTTGCGCCTATTGACATAGAAACAAAACGAAGAAGAGAGGAAATGAAACTTAAAGAGACACAGGCAAGAGCTGTTGCTGAACATGGAGAATTAGCATTGATAGCAGTCGACAGTCAACAAACAAATCCACAAGAGAGGATAGCATTGAGACCCCCAATGCTACAAGTTGTGCGGTTGGCTTCTTTTCAGCATGCACCCTCTATTCCTCCATTTCTGTCATTGCCTAGACAGTCAAAAGTTGATGGTGATGCATCGAGTGTTCTCAAGGAGATGGATGCTCGTAAAGCTAATGAGGTGGCAGTTGGTGGTGGTGGGGTTGCAGTAGCTGTCACTCGTTTTCCTGCAGAGCAAGCACGGCCAGTTGGACCTCTTCTAATTGTAGGTGTTCGAGATGGTGTTCTTTGGCTAATTGATCGATACATGTGCGCNTGCAACTGGGGCAGTTTGGCAGCGAAGGCAGTTGTTTGTGGCTACACCTACTACCATTGAGTGTGTTTTTGTGGATGCTGGAGTTGCGCCTATTGACATAGAAACAAAACGAAGAAGAGAGGAAATGAAACTTAAAGAGACACAGGCAAGAGCTGTTGCTGAACATGGAGAATTAGCATTGATAGCAGTCGACAGTCAACAAACAAATCCACAAGAGAGGATAGCATTGAGACCCCCAATGCTACAAGTTGTGCGGTTG